AAATATATATATTTATTAATGTAATGTTTCGGATGGTGTGACCTTCATCAGACAGTTCTGACCTACACACCCCGTGGGTAAATGGATCAATCCAGGAACTGAAAGTGATGCTGTGTGCAGAAGTTTTTTGGAAATTTAGGTAAAATGTCTGAACATTGTTTAAAGGGAAGTTGATCAAATACAACCAGAATTCTGAAAAGCATACCATTTAAAAACAACTCTTTGATATTTAAAGAAATTTATTACACAAACTTAGAAGCTTGGCAAATCTCTTTACCTGACCGTAAACCGAAACATTTCTTAAAAAGGCTCTGTAGGAAAAATTTCAGGCTGCATACATTTTACCTCTAACCAGAAATCACTCATCTGTATTATTTTATGAAAATCAATAAGTTAAGAGGGGAATCAGAGCACAAATAAATTAGAATACAGTAGAAAAGAAAGCTGTTCGATGATCTTTTACAGTTAAATAAAATTATGTGTGAGCTTTTAGGGTTTATAAGAGGTTTTTTCATCCATTAAACTGATTATTTTACGAGCATTCTGAGCCACTGTCTCATCAAAATGTATGTTACATAAAGACTATGGATTCTTGATAAAAACTATATAAAAACCAATGCAATAAATTCATTGTTTTACTATGGTTCAATACATGCACGTATAAAATAGAAATTGTTCCTGATTAATAAAGTATTTAAATCCAGACATGCCAATTATTTAGATAAAAAAAATTATAACTAAATAGGTTTCTCCATAGTGTGTGTAGAAATCTTAAATTTTCTCTCAAACCCGAGAGAGGATTTGCTGCTGAATGCTGTGCTTCAACAATTTTAATATGTTGGAAAATTTGCAGTACATAGTTTTGACCAGTGTCGGCAAACCACAGATATCTATTCATGTATCAGAATTCATTACTCCTCAGAAAAGCAGAATCTCCATAATTCTGTTTTTAAAATTATAGGACTGTTTATTAAATTGGCAAAGATTTTCGCAGGTACATAGTTATTGCACTATGCTTAGTAGTTTACAAAACAGCTTTTGTCAAGAGCCTTGCTTTAATCTTCGCAATTATTAGGCCCCATGATAAATGTCTTGAGCAAGGAATCATATTTTGCTAGTCTTAATAGGCTGTGAATAGCTAGAGCTATGGGACTCTACCAGAAGCTTACACGTGGGAAGTAAATCATGCTAAAATGAGTTGCACTAAACATTATTTTTTAATTTATTCAGTCCTTCCTTGTAAGATTTTTTTCCATTTGTGCCTGCGACTTCTAGGCACTGATCTTCTTTCACCTCAATTGTACCTCTGTTAACTGCCTTTTCAGCTATCTAAAGCACTTTTACATCTACTTATAGCCCTCCACACCTTTGTGGGACTCAATCATTTTCATTTTCATGGTGCTGCAAAGATGCTTCGATATGCTCAAGATTCCTAAGAGAGCATTTGAAGATTCTGAAATTTACATCATCTGTTCTCTAACCTTGTGCTGCAGGTTTTAAAAGCGAATTAATGTCTGGGACATCGAGCAATTGCTCTGTTTTGAGGTTTCCAAATATATGGATGAGAGCCTGCCCTTTAATACAAAATATTTTATCCAACTTATATTGCTTTATTAATGACCAAAGCGTCCATATCCCCATCCAGTAAAACTAATTTTACCTTCTCTTCACACGATAGATTTGTTTCTGTCTTATCTATTTCAATAACATGGCAGACATTTTTCTCATTTTCTTACAGTAAATTTTTACTCATGTGGGTAACAGTGATTCCTGTAGAGGACAAATTTGCAATTGTTTCTTTAATACATGGGCAACAGTCCAGACACACACACATTCTTGTCTTAGTAGAAAGTGAGGACCATGTATTGACTCCCATTGACTCCAATCTTGTTCTCAACCGTTTGATGCCTTAACCCATACAGTAACCCCAGACCCAAACCTACCAGTGCATACTTCACTGTAACTCTAAATTAAATTAAATAGAGATCTATATAACCTATACTAGGTTATAGTTCAAGTGCTAATTTACACTTGTAGTCCCTGGGCAGGTTGATGTTATAGAAAAATGCATAAAACATCATACATAAATGGATAATGACTTTTACTGTACATTGACCAGACTTATAATAATAAAAAACAAAAAAAGCTTTTAAAAAACTCTTAATCACACCTTTCATTTACTTAGGACTACTTTTATAGACCTCAGAACACACACACACATTTCACACCCTAGCCAGAAAAAAGAGCATTACCCAAAAACGTCGTAGAGGACCAGCAAAATGTCCTCACTTTACAACAGCCGTTTCTGAATTTGATGGTGAAATCAGAAAAAAGGTCCACAATCTGAGCTTCACGTCTGCCCAGAAAGAAGCACACGGAAATGTATCAACTAGAGTCATATTATTTTCTGTTGGCCCGAACAGAATGACTTTCTGGGTAAATAGAAAAAAAAGTAGAATCAAAGAGTTCTTGCTAGAGCCTCTTTTTTTACCACTACATTAAAATGCAACAGCGACTGAAGGGGTCATACCCGACAACATTTATTCCAAGGTTAAGACATGAGGGGGGAGACTTTTCATAAAATTGCTATCATTATTAATGCTTTTGTCAGATCAAAGCAAGGACAGGGGGTACGGCATATTTAAACCCAGCATGCCTTTTGAACAGAACTCCTTTGCGCTTTGGGATGTACAAATCAAAGAGTTCACGACAGATGTGGATCTTAGTATTTTAGGTGAATTTCCACAACTATTTTAAATGTGTTTTTTTTTTTTTGTGTGTGTGTGTGTGTGTGTATAGACACTCAATTGGAGTAAAACATAAATTACCCTTCTTAAATCAACATGACATACAGTATATAAAAATGCACAAATAAATGTGTGAGTATTGGCCTAAATTTGTTGATTTTTCAGCACAATTCAGACTGACTAGTAAGCAGATTGCAAGTAGCTTAAAAATCAGATAATTTTTCTGATCAATCATCCATTAATAGATTACCTGTTATTGTTTACAGAAGAAGTAGGTGGTGTGCACTCTGGCTGAGTAAATTAAACTTAATTACCACATCAAGCTGTAAGTTAGATGGTTAAGACCAAAAATAGCAAGAACTATAATATAGTATTTTTATAAATGCTAGCTGCAATAACTTTGGATAATTAGTCTCACAGTTTAACCTTTCCATAAAAGTTCAAAAAATATCCACTGGACTTGGTTTCCAAGATTTGAAGACGTTTCACCACCTCTCCAGGAAGCTTTCTCAATTCAATTTAACCTGACCTATTTTCCTGGTAAGGGATGGACAATGTAGACCAGACATCCCCAAAGTCGGTCCTCGAGGGCCGCTGTCCTGCAGGTTTTAGAGGTTTCCCTGCTTTAGCACAGCTGATTATGATGATTGCAGTTGAACAAAAGCCTGTTAACCAGCTTTCAGTTACAAATGAGCTGTGCTGGAGCAAGGAAACCTCTAAAACCTGCAGGACAGCGGCCCTCAAGGACCAACTTTGGGGATGCTTGAAGTAGACTATTATTGATTAGTACAGCTATTCCAAAAATGTTAAAAGACAATCCACTGGACTCGTTTGAAAGTTTGAAGATGTTTTGCTTCCCATCCACAAAGCTTTTTCAATTCAAAATATCAGAAATAGCGTTGAGTTTGAGACTTTATAGATTGGACCAAAAACAAAGCCTTGTTTTAGCTTAGAAAACATGCAAATTGAACCAGACAAACGGGTCCACCCATCAGCAATGGGGGTCATTTGGGTTCTTTGTAAGCCTGCAATATCCGATACCTGTCTATATCTCTGAAAGAGGGTCGTTAGAGGGAACTGTTGGCCTGTCTGAACAGACGAGGTGCTCTGTTCCCCTTTTTAATTTTTTTAGAATGACTATCACCTGGATGACTGAGAATCTTCACCAGCATTTAGTACAGTTATAATCATTCAAATTAAAGGTATCTAAAATCTCCTTTGTTGATGCATAAAAAGCCCAACAAACAAATACTATCCTAAAAATAAAATTGTTCTATGGTACTGTCATATATTCTACATATGTTAGATGAAATAGAACAACTATATTGGTAAACAACACAAAGCAATCCAGATTCTGTTTACCTGCAGTGTCTGTGAACTCCAGCCACGGTCTCAATGATGGAACATTCTCCTTCATTCAGGCAGAAAGCAAGGTCCTTATCCTCCACACATGGCTTGAATACTTCTGAACGTACACTTGGAAGTGTTGGGGCAAGTGCTGAAGACACAAAGAGAGAAAAAAAAAGATTAGAGTAAGAAATGAACCTCATTTGTCCTCTTAAATCATAGCTAATACCAGAGAAACATGTTCTCTTTTCTTTTTTTTTTAAAGATTTTTTTGGGGACAAATTACTCCAAATCATTTTAGTGCTCTAAAATGGCCCCTCAGATGACAGAAAATAATTGTTTGTAATTTATGAAATCGGTAGGCTAAAAACAGAGAGCCTGGGGATCATTTGATTTGGTAAGAACCGATTAACTAGGCATTAATGAGATTAAGCATTCTCAGCTTGACTGTTTCCGTGTGCTTGATTAAAAAGGTAGAGGAAAACAGTGGCAATTCAAAACTTTCTAAATGGTTTTGAAATTATACATTTGAGTCTGTTGATTTTTGTCAATAAAAACCAAAATCACTCATTCCCCCTTTTTAAATGCAGCATTTGAAACAGAAATCTGCTCAGTGCTCTGGGTTCCAATTTTTCAAGCAAGGAGGCAGACAAAGAATAGGCCAATTGATATGTCTGTAATTCTCTGCTTCCAGTCTGACCCTAAGCACTCTCATATATAAAAAGCATGGTTGCCATGAGCGAGCACTGCAATGCAGGGTTCTCCACCCAGTGAAATATGCACAGCTGTCAGCCAAGTTATCAGGGCAAATAAATATTCTGTGTCAGACTGCACACTAATGAGTGTGAATTAAAAAAAAGAAAACTAGAAAGGGACACTCATGCACAAAAATTATCACTCTCTTACACTTATGCACCACATAACCAAGCATTAAAAATGGGATTGACTGGTATTATGCTCAATGCCACTATGCTCAACAGAATTGGATTACACAAATTCATCCGTTTACTTTGTGTGCCCAGCACACCTTTCTAAACACAATTTTATTCACAAGTCATATTCTGGTAATTGTCTTTCATTTTGTGTGAATCTGCCACATAATTCATGCCTGATCGACTTTATATTACTCTCTCGTTGGAAAGGGGCCTTTTGTGACCAACAATATGAGTAGAGAGAGAGAAAAACTGTAAAAATCTGTTTATTTTTCTTTGACATCCAGCTCAATCTATGTTATACTTATGGGTATTGATCTATAAATCTAGGGCTCCTTGATGTAAGACCTTAGAGATGATGAGAGATCAAAGGGAACACAGAAAGACTTATGCTACTCTTGGGGCCAACCCAAACACCACTCTGACCGAGTCAAAAGTCTGAAAGATAAAATCAGGGTTCCTGAAAAATCATCACAATCAAAATTGTCATCTACAAACTTCCAGACATTTAAAACAAATGTTTCCTACGCTCTTAGTCCTTCAATAATAATAATAAAAAACTATTAATGAAAAAAGGTTAATTACTAATTTGTGGATAATATTTCTATTGTTTCCTAAAAAAGAAAACAAAGCATACTACAAATTATCAACAGGATAAACAAGTAAGGGAAAAGAAAAAACAGATGAAAGGGCACCCAGAAGCATGGAAAGAATAAATTTCAATTCAATTCAATTTATTTATATGGTGCCAAATTGCAACACGTCATCTCAAGGCAATTTACAGTTCACCAGATCATACAGTCAAATTGATTCAAAGTTTTCCATCTAAGCAAAACCAGTTGATTGCATCGACTCATTGACTCAAAGGCGATCCCTCACACTAAGCATGCTTGTAGTGACAGTGGAGAGAAAAAACTCTCTTAACGGGAAGAAAGACAGCATAACCAGGCTCAGTGTGAGTGGCCATCTGCCGAGGCCGACTGGGGTTCAAGGAGACATAATATAAAATAAAGCAAAGAATGACAGCGGGGTGGTGAAAGAAGAAAATACACAAGAAAGGTAGAAGGAAGTAATGAATGAAATTAAACAAAAAAAAGTAAGACACGGCAAGTGCAAGGGATCCATAATAGAAAAGAATGCAGGAGAGAGAGAGAGGAAGGAGGGGCAGAAGGACACACTTCCAGCAGGACAGAACTGTGAAGCAAGAGTAAACAATGTTAACTTAAAAAAATAAGCAAAAAGTCCATAAAAATACATTTAACAACAGCATAAGGTAACATGTTTATACATATTACATTTTCTATTCATTTTTTTAGGAGTCTCCAGTCTATGCTGATAATCAAAAACTTCCCTTTCGCTTTCTTCCTAGGTTGTACACTGTAATATTAATTCCACATATTCCCAAAGTGGGATGTTCCAAAGGTTAACTATTCAAAGATGCAATTTTATTTATAGAAAATAGAACACAATAGCCCCAGAGATGAGTATGTCCAAAGAATAATTGCCATGGCCTTAAAAACTCCCTTGTATCTATCATTGAAGAGGCGGCAGTGAGCAGTAGTGCATGAGGGACACAACTCAATATATATTCATACACAACAATCTCAATGTTCTGTTATAATTGAGAGTTTAAGGTTTCCTTAGGACCCTGGATTTCTTCTGTTTGGATGCCATTTTTTCTACATCAGGAGACCCAGTGTCTTGAAGAGTACCTTTTTTTCTAAAACACCTCAAAAACTCTACAGTCATGCCAACTTGGTGTGTTAATTGTATATTTGTAAATTAACCATAAAGCTGTAAAGCGACAACTCTGGCCATGTATATATTGTTAAAAAATGTAATTTTTATTTGCTATTTAAACTTTTCCTGCTCAGGGATCCAGTGCAACTTAATAATGGAGGGATTTATTTAACTGGATAAACTTTACAGCTCGCCGTCTACTACTGTTTATTAGTTGAAACAAGTACATAAAATAGTGTCTAGTAAAGGGAGTAAACAGAATACATAAAGGATCTGTACAGCAGTGGGACAGGAAACTGAGGAGGGTATACATAGCATATACCAATTTGCTCCCATGAAAAATTAATTTGTACCCACAAAGGGCTACTTCCTGCACAAAAAAAATATAAACCTGCTCCCAAAGAATACCGCTTTGTGCACATGGAATAGTATTTGCGATTACTAATTTGTAAACATAATGTGCACACCAAATACAAATTAATACAGAGTATTTTGGGGGGGGCACAACACAGGTTTCTGGACTGAGATCTCAGACGTTTCTCAAGGTATCTGTTGGAGTCACTTCCAGTTTGGGGGTTACTGCCCCCAGTACTCAAATGACCACAAACACTAGTATTTAAGGGAAGTGGCGGCCTGGTGGTTACGGCATAGAGCAAACAGTATAAAGAAGGAGTACTGGGGGAAGTAATCCCCAGTACTTCAATGACCACAAACACTGGCATTTAAGGGAAGTGGCAGCCTGGTGGTTGCGGCATAGAGCTTGGAATCCTGAGGTTCTGAGTTAGAGCCCCACTCCTACAGAGCCCCACTCTGGGTCCCTGAGCAAGACCCTTAACCCCACACTGCTCCCCGGGCGCCAAACAATGGCAGCCCACTGCTCCCCAAGGGGATGGGTTGAATGCAGAGTTAATTTCATTGCTCTGTACTTGTGACAGTGTAATGACGATAAAAGTTGGGAGGATTGCCTTCAGCCCTCCTGGGTCTCTAGTTCGTCCCGGACGCTGTTTTTTTTTCCATTTTCTCATATTCTTTTTTCCCCATTGTTTCCATTCTTTGGGATGGCAAAATAAATCACTACGGCTGTCCTCTGCTGCTTATCAAAAATCACAATGTCCAGTTGGTTGTGTTGGGATCCGGAGGCTTGCCCTACAGAGGGCGCCAAGGATCCCTTCCAGAGGGCTTGTGCTCACCTGCAACACCTGTTTTCCATCTGCTCATCATGAGGTCCCTATTTAAGGAGGTGGAGAGCTTCACTCCGGCGCCAGAGTGTTTGCCAGTTATGGTTAGCAAGCCTGAGCCAACCTGCCTGTCTGAATATTTGACTCCCTGAAAACCTGAACCAGAACCTGATCTGTTTTGTCTTCTCTGCTTCCCAGGTTGAACCTGTCTGAAACCAGAAACCCTGAAGAGTTTCTCTGTTGGAAATCTGTCTGTCTGATCTCTGAAGAACCCTGGTGAATCAAACCTGTCAAAGACCTGCCTGCCTGCTCTCTGAAGAATCTGGAAGGGAAACTCAAACCTGGTGATCTGCAAGCACTTAAACCAAGCTCTGTCTCCACCAAGCCCTCAGCCTGCCGACAGCCTCTGGACCCTCCTGGTTCCCCCCCTCTGCCGCTCTGCTCAAACTCCAGAACGGGTACAGACCTGCACCTTCACATCCTGCTAATTACCTGGACATCTGCTAACTCCTCTGTCCCCCTTTGCAGTGAACCCAGTCGTGACCAGTCTTGGATCTGATAACCACCTGACCTGTTTATTGTACAAATTCTTTAATAAACCTTTGAACTTTTTCCCAGTCTCTGGAGTGTTCTGCATGTGGGTTAGGAACCTGAAACCAAACATGACAGGTTGGCCACTACCATGCCAAGTGTTCTTCTTGTAATCTTTTACATTCTACTGCCTGCTGGTGCTGACACTGCATCCAATGTGACAGGTTCAATTGTTGCTAACCTAAATATCTGATCCAGATGCTATACTACTATTTATGGAATTGCTTGATAGAAACATAAAAACTATAAAAACGTTAACTCTGAAATAAATCATCACTAACCACTGTCTGAACTCCACATGATGATGCAATCAGCATTGCAATCATAAAGTTGAAGTCATTAGATCGCTATAAGCTGTGTATCATATAAAAAAACAGAAGGAATGACTGAATTGGAAGGCTGGATAAATTTTTGTCTTTAAGTAAAAGAGGCCCCATCAGAGCATCACATTTACATGCTGTTCTTGTCAATTTGAATCTGCAAGTTTTATTTCTAGTAAGGCTAAGACTTACTCATAAAAAGAAACGTTTTAAGTCAAAACTTAGAAATGAAGAGGTGTTATAAAATCATATTTCTTAAAGGTTATCATTAAAGCTTTAAGAATTGCTCTAAGGTATCCAATTCAAAACATAAACAAAACAGCAACAAACAGCAGCAGATTTTAGGAACTAAAAACATCTTTTCACAGTGCACAAAATAATGTATGTAAA